ACTCCTATTCCCACCCAGCCTATAAACTAGAGTTACAAAACCTGCACAAATTGGTTAAACTAACTGAGATATTTCAATGAGAGTTCGGGATGTTGATTCCAGCAGGGTATGAAAGGTGGCCGTAACTCTCTATTCAGAGGGGACAGAACTCAAGAGGTGAGGCTTTGTAGGAAGCATTTGGAAATAAATAAGGCTTATGGACAAAAATTAAGTTCAGATTTCTCTTTGATAGTTATTTTTTTGAAATTTCCCCCAAATCCCAAACCAGCAGAAGAGGTACTTGACCTCACATACCACTTGGGGATTTCTTTTAGGCGAGGGTGGCAGTGTCCTCTGCTGACACCAGCCCAACGCTAGATCAGAGAGCAGACGCTCCGCATCCCACCCACCCTTAGCAGTGCTGTGGGACTCTTGTTCCTATTACTTGAGCAAACTCTTCCATAATTCTACTTTACTTTTTCTTCTTAGTGGCCAGTAACTTCCCGTTTGTTCTCCTGATAAATACCAGAACTTCAGCTAAAAATGGAGAAGTCGTCTAGATTCTCTTATCTTGTAAAACCCTGGCAGTGGGGTGCTGTGGTCGAGTGCAGGCAGATCCCCCCAACAGTCAGAGACGTCCATCTGCAGCTACTTGCTGCTGTGCCCTTCTGACGGCACGTACAGCCCCTCACGCAGAGACAGCAGGAACGGACACTGCTTTACTAGCTTTTTGCATCTGGTACATCAATTTACACCTCTATTTGTCTTCCCAGGCCAGACACTCCAAGAAGAAGTGTGCTAAGAAGTGCAAGGCTAAATTTTCTAACATGCGGTCCATTTTGGACTCTTGTTCTAGAGATGCTGACAAGGAGTTTTGATTTTCAATAATGTTTGAAGAATCCAGTCACTCAAGTAAAGTGGGAAACTTGCCTTTTTTTGAGCAAGTGGTCTTCCCTCATCAATTTGTATAGTACTGAAGATTAAAAATAGCTCTTCAGCTGGGGTACAGCTGTGCAGCATTGGCTTAAATGGAGCTGCACTGACTCACAACAAGCAAGCATCTGTACATAGCCCTTTACTATTGCAAACCACGTAACTTAACACTAAGTACTGGCGTGCCATTCACCGGAGCCGGCGGGCAGGCTGGCTAATACCGCTGCAGCTCCTCACAGGTGTGACAAACTACAGGAGAGCGATTTGAGGAGAGGTCGAAATTACCTGCCTGTTAAAAATCCCATCTCCTTCTCCTTACCAGCACGTGAACAATGTGTCTTCTCAATGGCACTAGTCTCTTCTTTCATTAGACATCCTCTGTGCCTTCTTCCATGTCTTTTTTCCCCTCATAGTGACTTTTTGCACTGGCTGTAGGAATTCCTCTGTTTTCTAGGCCATGAAACCATTCTCCCCCCTCTCCAATAAACAGAAAACAAATATTACCAGTCAGCGAGCAGATATATTTCCATACGAAAAGTATCAAAAAGCCGGCTGTTCAAGGCTGACATTACAGAATTGGGATACATGAACACCACCACCCTGAGCCTTCTGAATTTTTTATTTTTTTTAACAAACGTAAACACTTTTTTCCCTTGCGGCTCTGAATGCCTAATCTCAATCCCTGGTTGGATGTATTCAGCACTAATATAAGGCACTGTGAAACCCATCAAACCTGAAGCAGATTCTCCCATGACATCTAATTTTCTACAGAGGCTGGTACTCATGAGCCACTAACATCAATACCAAAAATCTCCAGTGGGGCCAGGTTTTCCTCCCGTGGGGCTGAGTGTCAAGCTGTGCCTGAAACTTAGCATTTTTGGTCTAGAGCATGATGGACTTCACCTCCACCACCACCACTTCCTAGTTTTTGGTAGCAGCTTCTTCCTCTCTCCCCTGCCCCGTACCCAGCTCCCCCAGAGCTTCGGGGGTTCCCTGGCACCCCCCAGGCCCACACAGCCCCGACCGGTGAGAAGAGCTGGAACCAAGTGGGGAAATGAGAGCAGCCCAGCTTTCAGGTCACACTTAGGGGACAAAGAACTGCAACACACACCAAATGCTCTCCCGGGAGACTCCTTGCACAACTGCCTCTCTAGATAGGCTGACGTGGTGGATTCATGGTTCAAGTATCAGACAGAGGGAAAAGCATTGTACATGCTATTAAACCACTATTAGAGTATTTGCCTGCTGAAGTGAAGCTCCCTGTGCTTTCTAATGAATTCTCTGCATTTAGCATTAAGCGCTCTGTTTTTACAGAAAGTTACACTTGGGTAATTAATCTCGTATTCGTTTCCTGCACATGTAAGAGAGCAGCCTTTGTTAGGGAATGATAAAACACTTCTAAGAATAGTGCTACTAAGAGCATCAGCTTTGTAAGATGTTACAGGAAAAATATAGACTCTTAACACCTGCTTTCTGCTTTTCAAAGTTTTGAAAATAACATTCTGCTTACCTAGAGCCAAATTCTGACTTGTTTATGCGTAGAAAACCTAATGGCTTTCATCAGAGAACAAGCATAAATGAAGGTATACTTTGGTCTTTACGCTCCAATCTTGCAAAGATGTATTTGTTTAATTTTATAAACACTGTAAATATTCTCAGTGGCTTCAGTGGGACTATCTGCAGCTCCCAGTCACACAACCTGAATTCATCACTTTGTCTGGTCTCCTAACTACAGATTCCACTGAAATTAATTGGATTTTCTTAGTGATTGTAATAGATTGAGGATTAAGAATTTATCTGTGTGTAAAACAAGAGACCCTCAGGCCGGACCTTACAAAGGCCGGATGCTGAACTCAGGAAAACGTAAACTGGGAGACAACCCTGTGAGAGCAACTGAGTCACTCCGGTGTAAGAGAGGTCCCAACGAGCAGCAGACCGAGCCCGCATTTGAGGCTCCCTGGAAGCTTCAGCTCAGACCATGGGTTTTGCCAGCTGAACACAAAGGGTGGTGTAAAGCTTGGGGATTTATGTACGTTGTCAGATCAGAACCAGAGCCAACACCATTCACCTGTAAATGGTTGACACTTGATACCTACTGAAGTCAGTTTAAACAGTCATTGTTTTAAAGCTTGTGTTGTTTTTAAGCAGTCACTGTGGTTCAGCCTGAGCTATCTACCACCCCAGTGCAAGATGCACAAGCTACCATGCTGGTGAAACTATGTAAACAGTCGGGAAAAAAATAGTTTACAGCGGGTAAGAGACAATTTCCATTTGGTTTGTAGCATCCACTGTGTAACCAGTCATATGAGAAAGGACATTAATCTTTGCTGTACTTGCAGCAGATTTCTTTCTGCTTTATTATGGACAAAGGAGTAGTTTATCCTCCTAACCAGAAAACAAAGCCTGATCTGCAGAGATCTGGCTAATCTAGTGGTTGATGTTTGAAGAATAACATAGACCCAATTTCCCTAGGTTTTGTAGCGCAAAATCTGAGCAGAGCAGACTGCAACTAGTCTTGTGAGCTGATCAGAGCCCCTGTTGTGACTATTATCTTGACTGTATAATGGGGGCTTTCAAATCCCAGCTTTATCACATTCTGTTTTCTCTACTTTGCCCTTTTATGAATATTGAGTCATCAAAAATAGCTTCACTGACAGAGTTACTAATGGTACCAGCTGGGTGAATCAGTGGCTCTTACATTGTCTAGTGCCTGCTATACAGTGCCATTAGTACACTCGTTACGAAATATAGCAAAAATTAGATATCCATATTTTATTTGCAGCTCCCTTGAGACACATCATAGTGGTTATTTTAGAATTGGAGAATGCTAACTGAACAAAGCAAATATTCAGCCATTTCAATGCAATACTGTGATCTAAAAGAAGAAACTCTGGCTTAGAATAAGTGAAAAGTAAATTCTAACATCTGTAAATCATCCTTTCTCCTAGTTTTCAGTGCAAAGAAAAAATACACTACCAAATGATATCTACCACGTTCTTCACGAGACAGTTATTCCTCATATTACTAGAAAAAGCTAACATCAGCAGTCCAGAAAAAATGCTGATAAACAGAAGTGAATACGACAAATGAGGTAAGCGATGTATATGGCTCGGGAGTGTGATAGACGCATATGGTGGCATCCTTCTAGTACAGTGCAGTGCTCTGGGGTAAGTTAGGTTAGAAGTGCATGACTCAAACGAGTATTACCGATTCCAGAAGTGCAACAACAGTAACAGCACGCCCGATGAAGAACCATCACAAATGAGTATGCAAAATGGCCCACGATGGGCTCCTATTTTTAATGCTGTCCCAAGCAATTTTTCAAGGGTCATTTATTTCTACCCGGAGTGCCTTCCTCGCAGCCCCGCAGTGATACAGTTTCCTATGTTTGCAACACACACCCTTTTTTTTTTTCCAGAAAAACAGGCAGGCAGGCAGATACAGAACGAAACAAGGGGCCCCCTTTACACATAATGCAGTCGCAGCTCTCCGGGCATGCAGTGCTCGCTTCTTCTCACCAGCCCCCTTCACCTTTCAGCTATCAGCAACTTTACAGCACGGCATCTTCTAGCACCTCTTTATCACAGACAAAAGTAAAGCCTTCTGCTAGCAACCGCCTCCGGCATATTAAATTGGTAAACAAAACTATTGCAGATGCCGCCTTTAGCAAGTGTCATAGAAATTACAGAGCATCTTAACAAAGCAGAGCCTCAGAATTTAAAGTATTAGTTTTTTTCAGGAGGTTCTTGCCCTTCCCAGGAAAAGTGACATCTGAAATTCTGTTACAACAATTCTGTTAGTTACGGCAATATTAACTGAAACCAAAATGTGGTTTTTAACATAAGATACGTTGCGTAACAACTGAAGTATTATAATCTTACGAGCCGGGAAAGGTTAATTCCAAAGGGCACAAGAATATCGGCGAAAACTAAAACACTCCATCGGCGCACGGACTTTTATCTTTTTGTTTTGGTCCAAGGCGAAGCCGAAGCAGGCGAGACATTTCAAAGGAAGAGTAAGACACCGCGCACACGCCGAAATCCGTTTAGGGAGAAAAAAAAACATATCAGCAGAGCCTCTGCACTTACGTATCTCTTGAGTTTCTTCTCGGGGGGTGATTTAATGAGCCATCCAGTGCAAACGACGTCCCCTGAGCTCATCTTCCCCCCCGGCGCGGAGCGGCGACGCGGGAGCCAGGGTGCGGGCTGCGTGCGGCGGTGCGTGCGGGTGCGGG